AGGGCAGCTGCTCGTACCTAGAAGCGGAAAACAATTGCTAAATTTCAAAAGACTGCCGCATCCTGTGTTTGTTTCAAATGGAAAGGAGTTATCTCAGTAAAACTATGTAGAAGGCATTGGAACAAACTAATTTTAAAGGCTTTGTCACAGTGTTATTAAACCTGAATTATTGAACACGCATTTTTAATCAGGAGTATTCCAGCGTCATTTATATGCCTTTTTAGTTTGCTCTTTGTAAAAATTTTTGGCATTTCGCACGATGGATGTCAATCTAATGACAAGTGTAACCGTTACCTGGTTTTGATCAAGCACACAAAGACATGGAAAGAACTGGTATCGCTGGTATGTAGTACCTAATCTTGAAAGAGAGGTTGAGAGAGACATTTTTAGAATCACTAGTGGCTTTCTAAGAATAATTAGCCTACTGTGGCTTAGGGAATGTTTTCAAGTCCCAGAAGTCAAAGTTTCTTTTCATATGTAAAATTCATGTATTATCTGCAGGAAATAATTCTTTCTGAAAAGCCAAACTAATCCCTTGGATTTTAATTTTATTTGCCATTAATGAGCAAGTCAGAAAAATTATTAAAGGTTTTTAGACATTCAGATATTGTTTACAGCTTAAAAATATATGCGTTAGACCTGTTTGGATAAGATTTGAGTGTGTGTGTTTTACAGCAGTATTTCAAAACCTGTGTTGAATCTTACCTTTATAAGATTAATTTTAGATCTGTACAAATTTGGGGTTGGTTTTTGCTTAGAAGGATTTTTGATTTTGTAAAAGTAAGATGATTTCAGGTATACATCCATTTTTTTCCCCGAACAATTGTAGTTACATACATCTTTTAATCACTCCATTATGTAACAGGGAAAACATTTCTGAAAGGGAGTAAAAGTGAAACTGAATACTGACAAATTGCTGAGTTTTAAATTTTTTTTTAAATGGACATTTCTATTCCATTTCAGTAGTTTAGGTATTTGTAATTATGTGGCACAATGTGTGAGTATTCAGGCAGATTAGTTTTATCTCTTCATTTGTTGCGATGATTGTATCACTTCCTTTAATATTCAGAGATACTGATTTCATAATTACTCACGAGAGTAGTGCGTAGTGGGAGATTGCTAAAATTATTTTTAGTTCTGTGTGTCTCAATGTCCGGTTATAGACAAATGAGAGAAAAACTTTGTCTTCAACCTCTATTTTTCAAATCATCTTAGCTTCTGAAAAGCTAGAATGCTTGGTTTTGCCTCCTAGTGACTTGAATTGGAGAGGATGCTTCTTGCCACTACAGAGGCAGAAGTGAATAAACTTAGAGTCTTTCTAAATTTAGGTCTGTGTCTACAATGCTGGCTGATTGTTCCCTTCTTCCCTAAGTGATGAGTCACCTGACATCAATACTGCACATTTAAAGCAAATAATAATTAGGAGGACAAAGTCCTTCCCAGGAGTGAATGTAGAGAATGTTTTTATCCTACTTAACTCCTAAGTAAATTTACAAATCCTATCATACAGACATTATCTGTATTTACTTGTAAAACTTACTCTGTAAACTGTCTTGGAAGTAAACTTCCATTGTGTTTTTTACATGAAAATCACGTGTAAATTGCTTTCAAATGCTAAATTTAAAAACCAACCAAACAAAAACAAACAAACAAAAACAAAAAAAACCCACCAACCCACCACTCTATAAATATATATGTATGCACTAAAGAAGAATGCCTAAGTGTTGTTTGTGCAGCTTATATAGCTTAATCTTTACGTTGTTTGTAGGAATGAGTAATTGCAAGAACAGTGTTGCTTTTTCCCTGGGTCATAATAAGAAGAATAGGGGCTATAAATTTATGCCTTAGGTTCCAGCACCTGAATTGAAAGTAATTCTTTCTGGCACTGAGACCCCTCTGCCATGTGACAGATAGGGACATTAGTGTGAGACAAAGTGAGCTACAACTATTTCAGGGCTGTGTGCTGCTCCACCGGTATGCTCCTAGAATAGCACAAAGGGTTGCGTGCAGCAGGAGTGTCCTGTCAACCACACAGCATTGCCAGTGCATTCCAAGAGGCTGAAAATACTTGGGTTTAGCATGTCCCTCCTTGAATGGTGAGTTTCAGCATTGATAATAATATGTCTGAAGCATTGTTCTCCATCCTTTTCCCTCCAAAATCACTTTGCTAATTTGTCCTCTTCTTCTATGTGCTAGTGGCTGTAGTGACATGAGTCTTTATTTGAAAATATATGAGCAATGAGTAACATAACATGACCGGTACAAGTGGATCACTCCTATGTGCGATAAAGCAGAAAACGGTAGTACCCTTTTATGAACATTTACTGCTGTAAAAGCTGGCAGCTTCTAAAATTAGGCATGAAATACCATCCTGGGAAATTCTTCTTTTTAGGGCTTGCCCTTTCCAGTTTACCTTAATCTTTGAGATAGAAGCACATCCCTTTATTGGTAACATTGGACTTGCTTCAGAGATAACACCTAATTTAAAGGCGAGATTGAATCAGTTGTTGAAAATAGTCTGGTTGGAGATGCTTAAATAGCTTCACGTATCTCAGTGTGTCACTGAATTGATTTCCACCCCCTTCTCCTTTGTTCATCTTGGAGGGAGACCTAATCATTATTTTAGCAAAGATAGAAGTGAAAATGCTTAAATTGCAAATGTCACCTTGACGTGCATTTTTTTTTGTTGAGTTTTCATTTAATGCTATGTTATTTAATCTTAACTGATGATGATAAAAGCCCTACTGAAGTCAGTTTTCAGAATTGTTTTAAAAAAAAAAAATCCCTTGTTCAGAAAGATTCAGTGAAATTAGTGGCATCCTTTCATTATCAGGAAAGGACTGGCCAACAGCAATAAGTTGCTGGAAACATAGGAGGGCCAGGTGCTCACTTTGTGTGAATTGCCAGCAACAACTGGAGTTGATGGATGGCATCTTAGAGAGGCGTCTCTGGCACTCCTCATCACCAACCTCAGCAGTTCTCCTGTCCAGATATTATATTTGTTTATAGTGTTTGGCTAAATACTTAACATGAAAATCCTTTGTATTCTACTGCAGTGAATTCTGATGAGCAGTTTGTCAGTAAAGCTATGGTTGTGGCAGTAGTTGGAAACAGTGATTTCATCTGTGTAAAACTGCATTCAAGCTTTTGTTCTGAATTTTTCTATCTGCTGGGAACTGTGAAATAATGAATTTTACCTGGAATATGTCTACAGATTTTGGTGAAGCCTTCGGAGGTAGTTGTGGTTTCATTTGAAATTTCTCACATTTCCTTAGCAATGATTAAACTAAAATTAAATGTGATTATTTTGTTTTCAACCTGCTGTGTGGATGTACATGTTTCACATTACAGGCAACGCTCAGAATAAATGTGTTGCCCAGATTCATATTACTGTTGAGGTTCATGTGTTATAAAAATAGATCCTGTTGACTGTGTGCTTTATAAAGCGTGGTAGTTCTATTTCTTTTAAAAGCACAGCGGTTGTAAACATGCAACAAAACGATAAGAATGTCATTCTTCGTTTGCTTCTTCTTTGTTCTAATTAGACTAGAAGCTGCAAATAATGATGCTAAAACCAAAGCAATGAAAAGTAGTCAACCAGAACTTTATGGCAAGCAGTAAAGTGCATTCACGCCCACGTCTTTTGCTTGACTGGCAAAATAAGACACGCTGGATCCTAAGTTAGAACATGCAGGCAGACACATGCATCAAACAAACAAGATATGGCACCTGTGTTAAGCAATTGCAGTCTATGTTTGTGTATATGGAATTTAGCTTTTAAGTGCACACAGAGCTGTGGCAGCAATAGAAAGACATACGAAAGCATGTGCTGCATGGATACTTGGTGTTTTGGGAGCTGATTTTCTGAAAGACAGCGTGTGGTTCAGTTGCCCTGCAGGATGGGGTTGGGGGTTCTGCAGCATTCGGGCTCCTGGTTCTAGCTGCTAGGTAATGCCTGAAAATGTACCGAGTGCTATGAAGGTTTCTGTCATGGCTTATGTTACCACCCTGATGAGGTGAAGTGGTCATTGAGACAACCAGGAGAGGCTGGCCAGTGCTTAGTCCACTTCTGCTGGATACAGACTTGTTTCAGTGAATTCATGCTGTATGTACAAGTGTTGAGTAGTCAGCTTTTTGCTGTTTTCACAAGGCTTAGTATGGAAGTGTCTTCAGCTATTCAAAGTTTACTCTCTTGATTTGAATCTGGTGTGTGGAGTGATTCCATTGAGAAATGTTAATGCCAATGTATTAATACTAAACCAAAATACTGTGACTTTTTAAGTATCTTTGGCATTCTGCTTGTGATTAAGTTTATGGTTTTAGAAGCAAAGACTGCTGCATCAACTGATATAAAGGAATTCTCTGTGATTTAAGTGGTACAAGACCAGATCTGCAGAGAGTTTAACATATTTATTTGGTAGTAACATAGCTCTCTGTTATCCAAAACAGTGTAATGTTTAGTGAAGTCTCGCTGAGTCACCACAGTACCATGAGTTTGTTTCTTCTCTGTCCACCATTATTTAATGTCTGAAATTTTTGATTTTTAAAAAAGATAAATTTTTAGAAAATATAATTTTAGATTGGAAAACTGGTTTTAGTTCTGGTCATTCTCTTTGCCAGCTTAGTCTTTGCTGCTTTCCTGTGTGATGGACCATGTAGTTCTTGCATTTTCATACCACCAGTCTTCCCTTGTAGAAAATCGTATTGGTTTTGTAACATTTTCTTAAACTCCCTTGTATGTAGAATTGATGGATAAGGTAGATAAAGATGATACTGTCATACCCTTTGTATTGTCTAATTTTGATACATTTTCCAGAGCTATTAAGCAACCAAGCAGTTGATGGCCATTACTGAACCTGACGTGGGCAGTTGGTGCAGGCTGCTCAGAATGTTTTACCCCCTGGACACCATGGAAGTGATTGCCTCTGATTCTTGTTAACAGCAGTTGTGGAGAGTTATGACAATAACAGCATTTCAGATTTCTTTTTCTCTTGTCTTAGGTTTTCTACCCTAGCAAAGATGGTACTAAGATCCCAATGTTCATTATTCACAAGAAAGGAATTAAATTGGATGGTTCTCATCCTGCCTTCTTGTATGGATATGGAGGATTCAACATTTCTATTACACCAAGCTACAGGTAAGCAGGGTAATTTATACCTTAATCTGAAGTATCTGGTATTAACATCTGTCACAGACTGAGGGCAGGGCAGACAATGGATCTGACGGAGCAATGCATTTCAGGTCCCTGAGAAGCGAGATGGGGCCATAGGGACCGCACACCAGTGGCCAGGCGTTATTTGTCTGCCTTGTTAGTTCTGAATTCCCGAGTTTTGCCCAGGGTCACAGAAGAAATCTGTGTCAGAGCAGAGAAGTGCTGTGCTCTTCTGAGGTTTATAGCAAGCACCCTGCCCTTTGGATTACACCTTAACCTCTTCCTGCTCAGTCACTGAGCTCAACGGAAAAGCATGTGGACATACATTAAGCAAGTATTTGAGCCCTTTGCTGAACTAGTAACATAGGAAGTTTTCTTTTTTCAAAGTTATGCAGTTACCTATGTCTAAATGTTATAGGAAATCCAGTATTTGTTTAAATGAATGTAAATAATAAAAATTTGGCTGTATTTTCATGTTATACTTCTGAGGAGATTACATCAGAAGTAAAATCCTGCTGTGTTGCTGTATGATCAGGAAAGAGGAAAGATGATTCTGTCTTGAGATGTGTGTTATATGGACTCTGCATATGCAAAGCAATGCATTGTAAACCACAAAAGCTGTGTGCAAAACAGGATTTGTAGCCCTCAAAAGCCATAAGCTTTATTGAATAGATGATCTCTTTAAAGAAAAGGCTTATTTCTTCAGCAAGGGAATTTGAATAGACTTACCAAGAGGCAGTGATTGTCTGTAATACGTAAGAAATGCTCCTAGGCGAGGCAGGGGAAAACAGAAGCGCAAAGGACTGAATGGAGAGCATTTTTTCAGACAGGAAAAGAGCAGCTCACCAACACAAAAATAATCTATTATGAAACAATCCTATTAAGTTTAGGTGCTACCAGTCTTGCTGTAGAGTCAGCACATTTCAAGAAATCCTTTGTAGTGCTTGCTTTTTCAGGTCACTGTGATTGTATTTCGAAATAGCATTTACAGTTTCTCGTCCTTTCTAGCAAATACCTTGTCCAACAATGGACCTCCCATCTCGTGTTCTGTGATTATTCGAAAACTTTTTATCTGCCTTGTAAAGCTACATTTTTAATTTCCTGTGGGTTTTGAGAGACACCATTATATAACTAGAATAGTTTTTAAGTTCCTTTTTAGATTAGGCTCAAGCACTGATTTATTACAGTTTATTGTAGATGCTGAAAACTGTGATAAAACTTACCATGTTTTCTTTTTTAAAGTAAATATTATGTATCTATTGATTTAAGGTAAAATTTCAGATACTGCAGAGCTGGCACAAGTTGGTTGCGGGCAAAAGTAGAAGGTATCTCACAGTGCCTCTTTCCACCTCCCATCCATTGGCCCTGGTGCTTGCTGGAACCTTTGCTAAGCAGATTTACCTCACAAGAATGGCAGAAAACTATCCCAACAAAATAGATTGGGTAGTTTTCTGCCATTTGCACAAGTTAAAAATTGACTCTTGTAAGAGTCCACCAAACAGCAAGAGGGTGCAGCTGACAGTCAGAAGAGGAAGATGGGAGGTGGGAGCAGTGACCTATGTCTTCCTGAACCATATGAAACCTTTATCATACAGTTCATAAAATAAGAATATGAATCTGTAACAGTCCCTTAAAAGTAAATGCACAGAGAACTATTAGTCACCTTCAGATCAAAAAACATTATCCCACTGACAACGTAAATAAAATGTGATTGTCCGCACCTCCTTCCTCATTCTTTCCCTGTTATATCAACATACCCCTTCTCAGCCTTTCTAAAAGAAAAATAAGCCAAAGCCTTCAAATGCATCTTTATGGTTAATAACCTGAGAACTGAGTACTTGGTGAGGAAGTGTGTTCCAAAACTAGGCAGACAAGATCAGGGAAAGGACAATGTAATAGAGAATTTATGCCAGAAAGGCAGGATATCCAGTTCCTCCTTTACCTGGTAAATTCAAGTAATATTTGACTAGATCACCATTACTATACACTGCAATATTTGACAAGGAGTTCCCAGGTCCAAGTGCTGCTCCAGCCACAGCCCAACACCACAATTCGGTCTTTTTTTTTTTGTAGATGACCACAGGCATGAGTGCTAGAAAGCAGCCACAGGATAGTCAAGGTTGAGGCTTGCCACATCATCCACCTGATCCTGAGCTGAGATGTTGCAATGGAAGTCCAACCAAGTAGTAGCCTGCTTACCTTTAAAAAAAAACAAATAAAAAACCAACCAAACAAAAAACTTCCTATGTAAATATTCCTGATTTGTTATTTGAACTTAAGAGTCTTACGACTTTTCGTGAAGCACTCTATCTTCTCCTTTCCAGTGATTCGTTTCTGTCCTGTATTTCTTCAAGCCAGTACAATGTTTTCTCAGTGGTATTTTGCACCCATTAATGTGAGCCAGCTCTCTGGCTTCGGGAACTTATTTTTGCTTTATTCAGAAAGTGATGTTGCTTTTCATTTTTTCTCCAACAAAAAAATTATAATAAAATCTTTTTCACTGAAAGCAGTAGAAACAAAGCAACAGGTTAGAGAATCCAGAAATAACTGGGAGAACAATAGGCCAAAGTCATTAAGTCAGTTACAGCGGTGGTTTATTTTTGAATGCAAGCATGCATCTTTTATATGCTCCTCTGGACCAAGGACTGCATTTAGTAGTATTTCGAGCATGGTCCCTGCTAGAGCGCTGTCATTAATTATACAGCCTGCATAGCGAGTGCAAGTGAAAGCTGATGGGACTGACACCAGTGGCTTGGCAGAGCTGCTGGGGAAAAGCCATCACAAACCCAGCACTAATGCCTCAGGTTCGACTAATTACCCTGAAGGAACCAACGTGTTTCTGTATGTGCCTGTGTGGGTACAGGAGAAGCAATTTCTAATGCATCCTGGAATACAGCTGATTGTGAAGCAGACTGTGAAATTGCATTTGACTGCTACAGAGCTAGTTTTTACCAAGCCTTTGAGCAAAGAGGTGGTGCAGGGAGAGACTGTAAGCCCAGAGAACAGTCAGGCAACGTAGCAGCCGTGGGTGCAGAGCTTTTTTATCACCCCCTCCTGTTCCACCAAAGCTAAGAAAGCAACCACCTCCAGTGACTCAGGATTTTTTTCCCCCTCGCCAGTGCTCTAGCCTGCGTTTCTCTGTCAGCTGTAATAACCTGACAGCAGCTCAGTAATTCCAGGAAAGCATTCTTGCTCTTTGAAGCACAGCTCCTCAAGTTGTTCTATACTGTAAAAAACAATACGTGTTTTCTTATTTTTTGTGTTATGCTCCTTAAGACTGATAAGCTCTAGAAGGAGCTCTCCAGGGAAGGAACTATCTTCTGCTTCCTCCGCTGGGTCCTTCCTGACCCTGTTGCCCTTTCCTTTACTCTTTTTCTTTACCCTGCTGCCAGGAGAGAAGGGAAAACAGGGATAATGAGCAAAAGGCTATAGAGGCTGTTGGGAAGAGCAGAGAGCCAGACTTTCCTCTGCAGAGCAAGACATTTTGTAGGCATCCAGGGCGACTGGACAGTTTGCTGTGACTCAGACATCAAGTTGACTTGAAATCAAATCTGGAAGCAAGAGCCCACCTGGGAGAACACAGGAGGCAGTAGCAGGGTTGTGTATGAAACTTGAATTTTGTACTATCTGATCACTTGGAATTTTCACTTTTTAAAAATAGTTAATGAGTCCTGATTATATACTTCCAAAACCTGGTTCCTTGAACTTAGAAGTCACTTAGAGGAAGCTTGTTATAAGCTCTAGGCACAACTGCCTCAAAATATTAGTCAAGTTTACTGACTCACTTTACTACTCACTATACCAGAGTGGGTATTAATTAATAGTAATTCACAGTAACATCACTAGATGTATATTTTGGGGTGTACGGGGTAATGTTTTCTGAAGTGCCTAAATCCCACTAGTATTGCTGAGAGTGAACACAGATATACTGAACCTTACTTATAATTTGGGCAATATAGTGATTGTTACCAAACTCTGGACTTTATCCCACTGAGGGTCTATGCAACAGAAAAATTGTTTGCTTGTGGAAATGGAGGGTCCATAGACGGGAGAGGATGCACTCAATACTTTGCTTTTGCATTGCTCACAGATTCTTTGCTGGTTAAATACGCTGATCCCTCAGACGGGCACAGTTTCTTTCAGCAGATGGAAGAGGATGGACTCTGTTCTGGAATTGATTTTTTTTTTTTTTTTTTTTAATATTCTCAGGCAATATATTTGGGTAGCAAGCTCTTACTTTACCTGCAATTCCTATACTTGCTACCTTGGATTACTACCAGTTCATGTAAGTTTGGACCAAAAAGTTTCTATTGATTTTGTTTGGGACAGAGACAGGGAAAATAAGTGCAGGATATTGTTAGAGCCACAAAACCTCCCACATGCTAAAAATTAAGAAGCCACAATGTCATGAGGCAACCTACTGTCAGGCTACTCCACATTAGCAATCTTGCATGTGTTCAGCATGTCACAGCAATCTAAGGAAAACACAGTTCACAGTGATGGACTTGATTTTACAGAAGCAGAGATAATTCATGGCTCCTGAGCCATCTGATGGCCACAGATAACCAGCTTAAGTGGAAGGTTTTTTCTTTGATGGATTATGAAAATACAGAAATCTCTTACCAGTTATCCTGCTTTTCTTTTTGTTTCCTTAGTCCTTGGTGTATACTCTCAAGAACGAGTGCCAGTATGTAAATAAGTGCTTTGAGAGCATTTCATAGCATTTTGCTATGAAAAATTTGCCTGTTTTGATAGTACATCCACATGAGACACACTGTAGAACATCTTTCAAGAAATTTCTGATAAGCAGTAGGGGGTCTTAAAGGTAAAAAGGCCAAATCCTTGCTCTTGTGGTTGAACAGCATTAATTTCTGCAGGCAGTGGTTTCTTGCATGAGCAAGGATTTCAAGTAAATAAGAAATTTAAACTTACTAGAGGAAAAAAAAAAGACTTGTTGGGATTAAATTTTAATATTTTACTGGTCTCCTTGACATATGTGTAGTTTGCCATCTGCAGTTTCTGCTGTGTTAAGCTACTGCCTCAACAGATCAGAGATCTATTTCTCTTCTTAATTGTTAAATGTAATTTAAATTACTTCGGTCCACTTCTAAAAGATAGCAATAGCTTTGATACTTTTGCAATTTGGCATTTAAAAAAAAATTATGCTACTTTATCTTTCAGCCAGATACTAGAGATACTAGGGAAGGCAGAACTTGTAATCTTATTTTTTACTATTTGTTTTGTATTTAGCAATGCAAGTGGAAAATAAATAAGGGGATTGTCCAGAACTTGACTGCAGACCCTGCCACAAAACAATGGTGGAAGCAGACTTCTTCATTGCAAACACAGTTTTATAAAGGTCCAAAAAAAAGAAGAAAGTACATTAAGCAGAAGTTGAAAATACAAGTGCTGATTCTTGCTGCTTAATTCTTTGCTTTCTTCATTTGGGCTAAGCCTTCCTTTCCTCTCTGAAAAAGCTGAGGACCCACGGAAGGAGAACGGTTCAGAAAGCTATGGGGGTTCAGTGGTACTGCATAGGTCTGGTCCCCACACTGAAGGCTTTGAAGATAATGAAAAAAAGTGACATGTCCTCAGGAGTCTTCTGTTAGGCAGAACCCCTGGCCACTGTCCTCCAAAGTGCAGGACTAAAGGAGGAAGAATGGTCCAGCACTGGTTCCTTCCTCTCCCAAGGCTGCAGAGGGTTTCATTTCCATGGATAACCATTGAAAAAAGCCTAGCTACTCAGCTTTGCCATCAAGGGGGACTTCATTCACGATTTCATCATTGATTCTAGGAGATATCTTTCCCTCAAAAGTACTTTTGTAAAGGTGGTAGGGATATAAAAATTGGAAATTAAAAATAATCCTTTACCTGTTGCTTTTTCAGTGTGTCAAGACTTATTTTTGTGCATCACCTGGGGGGTGTTCTAGCGGTGGCAAACATCAGGGGCGGTGGTGAATATGGAGAGACCTGGCACAAAGGTAAATCAGTCCAAGTAGAGGAACAAAACTGCAGGCTTAGCAACGAAAATTACGATTTCTCTTGACTCCTTCTTCCATACTCACATCTCTTGCCTTTTACTTGTTCTTTAGAAAAATAGGGTTTTTTCCTTACTCATCTGTTAAATCTGTACGTTGTCCACTGTTACCTGTTGGTTAGATTGTTTTAATTTTTGCAACCTACTTAAAAATAGTTTTGCACAAACACAGTATTTTCCAAGAAAATTACTGTGTTTTTTTTTAAGCAAGGTCAAGTTCCCTAGACTTAAGGATTTGAAAATGCAGCTATTTATCTTGAACTGATTTTCCAAAAGGTATCTGTCTATATTGCAGGAGACCTGGCTTGCTTTCATGTACCTCTTTCATTATATGCAGGTGCACATGGTCCCACAATTATAGATCCCCAAGACAACAGCACTTACTATTTAGACTTTCTTGGTATCACACAAAAAAACCCAACCGTTTGCAGAACCTTACAGAAGGTGTGAACTTTTGAGTTCAGGATACAACTCATTCACATTGGTTTTGCACAATTTATTAATAGACCCTTTTTTATATTTGGTCAATGTGATTGAAGTTCATATGAAAACAGTTAACTCCACAAGTACAGTGACATGTCATCCCCTCTACACTCTCTTAGGGGGTCCAACTTCTTATAGGCAGGCATTTGACCTTTTTAGGGTTTTTTTAAGCTGACTTTTATGCTGCAGGGAAAACAAGTCACTCACTACAAAACCCTGTCAATCTCTTTTCCCCTTTTCTTAATACCTTTGGTGTATTTCTCTCCATGTTTTTCCCATCCAATCCTTGTCTTAATCCTTTGATTGTACTTGTCCACTTGCCTAATTGTTGACAATTTTCTGCATCCCTTCACCAGAGGAAAAAGCTGGAAAAATCCTACTGTAAGATACCCATCGTTATTTAATGGTGACACCGTATTCATATCCCAAGAATCTGGTGGATGAGTTGCTGGAAATGTTGCCAGCAAGGCAAATGCACCAAAACAGTGGTGTTTACAATGCAGCAATTTGCCATGGGATCCATAATCCATAATAACTTTTTATCAAACAAAACGGTATTCCCAGCTCATTACATCTTGGTTTTACTATTTTATCTGCGGTAACTTTTTGTCTGGGTCATTTCCTCTCAATTGAGTTAAATATGTAATAGTTCCGTAAATAGAAGCTATATATGCTTGCAGATACAGGATATTAGTGCTAAAGATGAAGTATCCTTCATTAATTTTAATTTGCCGACTGGTTTGTAGTAGGTTTTAATAATATTTGTCTTAACAGGATAATGCTTCTTTGGTCCATCTCTTTCCTGCTTAATTTTGACACAAGTCTTTTATTGCAGTTGCATAATAAGATATATATCTATCTTTTGTTAATTCCAGAAGCAATTACAGAAGTCTGTTTACTTAGGTTTAATTGTGTAGAAAGGGTTCTGAGCTTACACCAGACCAGAACTTTGAGCAGAGGCAGATTTTTTTTTTTCTCCTTTATTGCCACACCTTTGAGGACTCTTTTGTTGTCCCAGTATTACTTTCTTCAATGGTCTTCTTAATGTGAGAATGATGTGTATCTGCTAAAAAACTAGATGTGCACTAGTCCCAGTTCCATAAGGTCTGTATGACTAATTTTTGCAACATAGAAATGAAGCATCGAGTGTAAACTGGACGTCTAGGATCACTGGGTGAACAATGGAGATAGAGACACCTCCAGATTATAGCTCATCTCATTTATTTTAGGATACAATTAATTGTCCTGGAGGCTCCTGGACCATAGTGGGAACCTTAGGCAATGAACATCCAGCTTTTAAACAAAGCAGAAGGAACTGAAGTTCCACTGCTGCATCCACTGAGCCCCTCTTACCTGGCTGGACCACAGCCTTTGCCACGGGAATATGAGGATTTTCTTTCTAGTTCCCATTTCTTACTAGCATTTCATTGCCTGAGAAAGAGCATAAAAGGTCTGAAGGTAGGATAACCTTCAAGAAGCCAGTTTTACTCTCTTGCCAAACAAACACCTGAAGTGGGAAGATTATGAGCTTTGGTCAGCTATGAGTTCTCTAGGTTGATACTCTTCTGCTCAAATAGTTGAAAGATTGTAGGGCAAAACCATCCTTTTCCTTCCTTATCCCACCCTGCAAAATTTTTTGTTTTGGGAACTGGAAGTCTTACCAATGATGTCATCTGGACCTACATTTTTGGTCGTGATTTATTCCTCATCTATCTGGTCACATTTAAAATTTTGTTCAACAGGGTAGCAGCATCTTAAGCTATTTATTTATTTAATGAATGACATTAATAAAATTTCAAACCAAGATGCAACTCTGTAGTCCCTTTTTGACCATAGCTATATATCATCTGATTTGAAAACAACTAATAGGAAAAAAAAAAAAAGTAAATTACCAGCCATACCAGCCACTCTATGTCCAGGAAATTAGAAGAGCTTATTTTATAAGTTGAAGTTTTATTGCCTTAAGAAACTGCCACTGAGTTTAATGTTAGAGTCCTATTAGATCAAATCTCAAGTGGATTATATGTGGTCATTTTGTATATATTTTGTAATGCAAAGCTTTTAGCTTTAATTTTACTGGTAAGGGATATTACCTGGCACTCACTTCACAGTGTAGGTATGTATTATTCAGAGTTTCTGAAAGCATTAGAGTTATCGACAGAGTCATCTTATACCCTGTCTGTGTTGCAAGAATCTTTCATTTTTGCTGTCTTTCTGAGCTACATCAATTATTAAAATGTTCATGAAACTGGAATTGTTCCCAGGTATTTTTGCACACATGTTTTTCTGAAGAGATGGTATCAAATGGATTTTATGGCATCAACTGATTTATTTTGTTTGTGTGCTAGGTGGTATCTTGGCCAACAAACAAAATTGCTTTGATGACTTTCAGTGTGCTGCTGAATACCTCATCAAGGAAGGCTACACATCCCCAAAGAAGTTGACTATTAATGGGGGCTCAAATGGAGGCCTGTTAGTTGGTAAGAACTGCTCATATATTTCCTGCGTTTGGTGCTGGGTTTATCAAAGTAACCAGACAAAAATTTATGAGATCCTCTTTTCAAAAGTTGCCAGAATGACAATACATTAATATATACGAGGTGTTAAATAAATACAGTTGTACTTCACTTGCTCTTTGTGTAGGACATTGGGATTCTGCAGTCTCTAGCAAACGCTGACTGTTAAAAGCCATACTTGTAATTACTGTCTCATGTGCTAGAGCTAACCCTGTGGTAGAATCACACAGTAAGTAAGAATGCTTTAAAAAACATTTTGATTTTTCTTTCTTAAAGCTAACCATTGCAAAATAATTACTGAATAACCAGAAATCTGTTATGTATAGCATCAGGAAACTTTGTGTGGTCTGTAGCATAAGCCAGAATCTTGTGTCCTGCAATCCTTAATCAGATTTTCTTGTTCACTCTTTCATAATCATAGAATCATTACATTGGAATAGACCTCTGAGATCAAGTCCAACCGTTGACCTAATACCACCATGCCCATGCATTCTTGTTCTTAGAGGGCAAATGAAAACGTGACAGTTCTGCATTTAAAGCCTTTGTACAGGGACACATAACAATTTGACTCTACTTCCATTGCGTAGTTAAAACATGACCACAAATAAAATCATGAAGTGTCTCTGGTGAGAAACATAAAATACAAGTACAGCTTTTTCATCATGAGCTTTTGAGGGACTGTGTAAATGTAGCACTTTGTTCCAAGTGCATCCTGTTCACATGTAAGTTACTGCTGTGTTATTAAATTCAAGGAAATTAATAGTCTCCTCTTAAACAGAAAAGCTTGTCACAAAAACATCTCATAGTCTAAGCAGTATTTAAAGAGCTACAAAAATGATATCTGATTAAATTCCTGTATCTGAAAGTAATAGAGAAAAAAAGGGAATTGATTTTGTTCTTTTTGAAAGGAGGAGGAAAACAAATGAATAATATTGGGGGGGTTCTTTTTTTTTTTTTAACAGCGTGAAAGGCATATGATAGTGTGACAGAGTTGAGCTGCTCATGTGAGAAGAAAAAAAACACATTTCAAGTTCATAAACCACTGATTTATAGAAAATGAGCAAATTTACTAGACCCGATCTTTGCTCGCTCTTCTTTTTATACTGCTCACTATTTATCTGCTGCTGAATACTGGATGTATTGATTTTATTTTTCAGTGAGCTAGCATCCAGCATAAGAAACAGGATTTGGAGTTGTACAGATCTTTGGTCTAAGTCATCTTGACTATTTCTGCATTCTTATTTTTAAAAGGCGGTTATTTTAAAGCTAAATAACAAGTACATGTAAAGTTGTGGTTTTGCTTTCTGCTTATATGCTTCTCAGTTACAGGTGGCAGGACGCATTTGTGCGTTGTAAGTAAGAGCACCAGTAGAAATGGATGAATATGGTAAAGGGTTAAAGGGTTTGTACACCCTTGGGAGTGCAAGCATAGTGCAAGTCAACTTTATATAAGCATAAATATCTATTTAGAAATACAGTTAAGCTTTCAACACGTTACATAGCTTCTGAAAATACTGTTTTATGGTTACCTGGACTTCAGTTTCGGTTAGGATGAGATGCATCCTACCCAGCTTTAGCCATCAAAAAGCCTGTGTTTCTGGCTGAACAAGTCAACTGGGCTCCTTTTTTAGGTAAGGGGAAGTGAGTGGCATCTGCAGAGTATGTGTCATTCCAGTAGGAGACAGGTGTTGGGAATCTAGACCTCCCTGCTCTGAAAAATCTGTTATTAGAAACCTTCCCTTGCGCTTCCAGATGGGTTACAATCCAGCTGGATTTCTGTGCTCTTGATGAGCCAGATAGGGACTTTTCTTCAACTGGGTAGCATTAGGTGAATTTAGGAAATTCGTTTAAGTGCTTTTTCGTCAAAGCAGTAGTTGTTCATGCAACGCTAGAGAGAATAACTCATACTTTAGGCGCAAGGACCCACTGCCAGATTTTCCCAGTTCTCCTTTATTGAAGAAAAAACTGACAAGGAAGAGTATTGTCACTCTTCCAAAATACTGTTTCCTTTTAGTCAGACTAACAGGAGGCATCTCTGAGGAGTGCAGAGCCCCTAAGCTCTTGCCTCATTCAACTGCAAAACAAGACTTCCTTGTCCTGCAGTGTGGTCCCCAAGCTGAGCAGAGCAGCACAGCTGTGAGCTGAAAACCTCCTTCAAGCAAACGCAGTGTTTGACCTCTCGTGCTTGCTTAGACAAACAGTTCTGAGGTTTTGAAATCTTACTTTTGCACTGAATATTAAAGCTCAAAGTATGTGTAGAGGAGTAAAATTCACAAATAAACTGTTGTTCCAGGTTACAGTTTATTAATGTGTATAATTAAGTGCCATCGCTAATTGCAGGGGTGCAGTGGGAATGGATGAGTGTCTAATAAGTGATTTCTTGCTGAAGTAACTATTTTGGGAATTAGGAGCAGCAGTTTTTTATAAAATCCTGAGCAACACACAGTGCTTCAAGAGACACTCTGCAATAAAGAGTACTAAAATTAAATGTCATGATAGCTGTTTTGGCTTTTTTTCCCACCCGAATATAATTTATTTTCATAAAAGGAAATAACATGAAGGGGAGGGATCTGATCAGAAGCTTCAGTTAAAAAGATAGAGCTTTAATTTGGCAGCTATTTAAGGCGCTATATACACCTTATGAAAATGGCTCAGAAAGGACCCAGGAAGAGTTAGCATAGTTATGTATCAGAGATGACCAGAAGTAAAATCACATCCTTCAGAAAAAAGAGGAATCACATTCAAGTGAAGAAAACAGAGTAGAGCATAAACTCTGACAGGAGACTGATGAGTAAATTGCTTCCAAGATAAAGATTAGCAACGAAAGCTTTCTATGCACATCAGAAGCAGGAAGCCGGCCAGAGGATTTGTGGGACTTACAGGTTAGTGAGGTGTAAAAGCAGCACTAAAGAAAGGTAATGGCAGAGCAGAACAACTAAATGGTCCATTTGTATTGACGTTCCCTCCTGAGGAGCGTGGGGAGTTCCCTGCACCAGAATCTGTCTTCATGGGGCATACTCTGAGGAGCTGATTCAAGCTGAAGCATCAGCAGAAGAGGTTTTGGAATAAATCAATCAAATGAATGTTGCCAGGACCAGATGGTGCACACGCAAGATCCTAAGTGAACTCTGATATGAAATCGCAGGCTACTAAGCCTGAATATCTGAGGAACAGAAGGGGGCAAGCGTAATGCCAATTTTTAAATGGTTCATGGTGATCCACAAGCTGCAGATGAGTAAATCTGACTTCTCTAATGGGCAAACCAGTTGAAACCAATAAATAATAGCTGACATATACGGAAGAATTTTGCAGGCTAAAGTTACATCTTGCACATCTATTAGAGCTATTTGAAGGAGTCAGGCAGTATATGATGCTAACAGTGGTCTAGGTGAGGAGTAATTCTTGGATTTTCAAAAGCTTTTGACAAGGTCCCTTGTGTAATGCTATGCAAAAAAGTTCTTGCTGAGCTGGAAGCAAGGTCGTTCTATAGCAATATCCTGGTTAGCAGGAGGCAAAGAACGGGAATAAAAATCCATTTTCATAATGGACAAAAATGAGGAGATAGAAGAATTTGTGAAAGAGTACACCTACCGTGTGGATGCACAGTGATTAGCTCTGAATTGAAAAAGGGATTTTGTGATCTATTGTAGGAGTTACGTGAAGATCTCCGTGCTCTTATTTCTTAAAATTCAAAAAAGCAGGGGAATTTGTAAAATCACCAGGCGTCAGGTTTAAATCAAGCCACAGAAACTGAAATTGAGGGACTTACTGCTACAGGATATGATGAGCACTAGATGAATAAAAAAGGAAATAGATGTATTTATGGAGGATATGTGTTTTGATGGCTGTTTAACAAGATGGCTGGAGATAACTCCAACTGAGGGAAAACCTAAACAACTAGTTCAAGAGCTGATAATGTACAGGAAATATTTCCTGGTATTTGCTTAACGCCTTTTCCCAGAGCGTCTGCCAGTTACCACTCGTAAATTGAACACTGAGCTAGATGGGCCTACTGTGGTTATTTTTAAAATATACAAGACAAGCATTATTCTTAAAGAAATTGTCCCTTCCAGTAGTAGGAAGATGGAAATAATAAAAAAAGAAAATACGACACTAATTTGCTTTATTAAGACGAAGTTATTCCTCTGATTTTGTAGTAGTCTGCTTTTATCAAAGCTCTTTTCATATGGGTTTACACAGTAATTATGGAAGAAAACTTTCATCAATAAATGGACGGCTTTTGCTCTTTAATGTCCTTTTCTTTGTCAATACTAATATTAAAATTTTAGACAGTGAATGGTTTAGAGAAATTCATACAGTAGTCCGAAAGCTCACATTTTAAAAGCACATTTCTGCTTTAAACCCAGTTTGCTCATTTGGAAGGCAGTTTTCAAAGAACGGCATGTTTGGTGCCTGAAGAACAGGGAAATAGCTCTTAAGCTCTTTTGAACATGCCACCTTTGGGACTTACAATTTTTATCCATTTGTGTATTTGCTTTCAGGTTTGCTTAAAAGTCTATTTGACTTCGTATTCACTGGCAGTCTTCTCCCAGTGCAATTTGGTTTATATTAGATATTTTATACTGAAGTTTTTTGGCTCAAGGTATTACATGGTAATCTATATTTCTTCTCACGTTGTTTTATTTTAACAGGTTTACACTTTTTTTTTTTTTAATTAAAGAAACTACAAGTTTATAAAAGGCAGCTGTTTGGAAGCTGGTCTTTTATGAACTTTGCAGTGGACCTTTCACTGGTGAGCTTAATTCTTTAAGATATGAATACTAATAGAGTTGTTTTCCTGTTGAAGCTGCCTGTGCTAATCAGCGCCCTGACCTGTTTGGTTGTGTTATTGCCCAAGTGGGAGTGATGGACATGCTCAAGTTCCACAAGTACACTATTGGCCATGCTTGGACCACTGACTACGGTTGCTCAGACTGTAAAGAGCAGTTTGAATGGCTCTGCAAGTAAGTGCCTTTAAATACTTCTGTGGTTGTTAAAAAGCAGAGTCTGCTCAGCAGTTTCAGGTTGTCATGATCCATACCTATTCTTAGAATTATTTCATCTTTTCCCACACTGGATTTGGGAAGTTCAGCGTTTCCTTAGTCAGTCTTCTTCAAAGCCCTGTTGAGTCAATTGGTCACATTTTCAAAGACCTTGTTCTACTAGCAGCTTTAACAAGTCATAAGGTTTTTTTCTGCATAATGACTCTTTTAGGCTGTCACAACAGAATTTTCTCAAGTGAACCACTACATAAATTGTACTTTTTATGATGGAGGAGAGACAATCATCATTGTCAATTATATTATACAATGTGGATGGGATTTTTTTTAGGAATTGAATGGCAGTAGACCATAACAGGATATTAACTCATTTCTTAACTTCTTGCTGAGAGGTCTGGAAAGATTATTTAAAAAAAAAAAAAAAAAGGGAGAGAGAGAGATGAGAGAGACAGCTGTGTGAGAACAGAAATGAGCTGCACATTGGATATGGCTAATAATGAGTGTGTTAGAATAAGTGCCATCATTTAAAAAATATTTTTCTGGAACCTCATCTTCTGTATTGCATTTGTATTCCTTTAATAATGAAGATTCACATTTCGGGAGAATGCTTCAGACACGCTAAACAATATGGCTGGTCTGAAATTTAGTACAAGTGTTTAGATATTAAAAAGTACGTGTGCTTACAAGTACACTGAGATCTAACTTGATGTAAAGCATTTATTTAAAAAAAAAAAAAAAAATCAGTGTCAAGTCCAAATACTAGATGATCGATTGGCCCGTTGTCTAATTTAAGCTTTCAGTGACAAACACATTTTTGTAAATACAGTGCACAAAACAAATAACAAATTTCTTAATTCATCTTTTATCAAGAGATAACGTATCTTTGATAATAGATAAAAGATTAACTGTTATAAAAACGATCCAAATAATCTTGATGATTTTGGACACTGAAACTTGCCTGCACATCTGTGAACTCAGATATTCTGAAGAGGTAAAGTGGAAGTAAAGTTTTAAATTCATTCTGTGATTAGGAGAAATGCATCTGTAGGAAGGAGTCACTCCATGCCTACTTACACACATGCTTACTCACAAAATCTCAATGCGTAATTTTAGAAACATCTTATATGGCCTTACCTGAAATACTTCTTTTTCTCCTTTTCATCAACTGGTAATTGCTTATCAAATGTAAGAAGGTATATATGTAATGTTGCCCTTACAGATACCCAAAAATAAATACAACAAATGGAGTGGCATGTAGTAACTATCATTTAACTTCTTTTCAAAACAAATCATAGTCTGCAAATTCACTTACCTTGTTCCTTAGCTGAAAATGAGGAAACCAAGGATCTGTTAGGTTAGACATTCAAATATTGTCGCGTGTTCTTAAAAATAATTTGAACTTACTTAATGGGTACTCCTCCAAGTGGGAAATTCATTCAAAAATAAAGCAAAATTTCCTTCTGTGTTTCCTGTCATGAACTAGGGGGGAAAAATAGTATCCTACGCTTGATTTAAGGAATGTAGCATTCTTCCAAGGTGTAGCTTTGTCTAAATGAAATGGTTAGATGGAATTCTTTGTGGCTTACAATTATGTTTAATTTCTGATGCTAGAGAGTACTTTGTGTTAAAATATGTAGATACACCTTTTATGTTATGTTACAGTAGCTAAAAGATGTAATTTCTCCTGCAAAGAAAGAAAATTTTGGAAGTTAAATTATTCATTGCTCAAAAAATAGGAATTAAGGTCAACTGTCAAAACCAGGAAAACTTACAGTTCTTTCAGTTTTCTGCATGGTGTTCCCTCAGAGTACATGCATATTCAAAGGTGGCCTAAATATGGGAGGCAGTAAATTTAATAACTGTAGAGCACTTGTGGCTTACCATCAGAGACTGTTCACAAATGTGCATGAGAAGAAGTGATCCACGTGCAGACCTGGACTGCATACATGAGATGGGAAAAAGTCTTGATTTCCCTGTTTTCCCAGCAGGATGGATCCTGCTATGGACTTGGCAGCTTTTGCTGCAGTTTCCAGGTTGCCTCTTCCTGATATTTTTGGCATTTCTGTGAGTGTATGCATATGCCTCTCTGAAATTAAAGAAATGTACTTCACATTTGAGAGCCAGAGTTGTGTGGCCTCTACAACATATCAGTTGCCAGTAGTGCAATTCTGATTTGTGCAGCTGAGAACTGCAGTATTCTGAGTGCTATCGAATGCAACTGTGACAATTTCAGTATGAGAGGACCTTCTTCTTGGGTCTTGAGGAAAAAATACATAAACATTTGTGTGCTCTTCTCAGGTACTCTCCGCTTCACAATATCAAACTACCAGAAGAAGATGGCATCCAGTATCCCTCTACGCTGCTTCTCACAGCAGACCACGATGATCGTGTGGTCCCTCTACATTCGCTGAAGTTTATCGCTACTCTCCAATATGTTGTGGGCAGAAGCCGTAAACAAACCAATCCACTTCTCATCCATGTTGACACCAAGGCTGGGCACGGAGCAGGAAAGCCAACTGCTAAAGTTATAGAAGAAGTGTCAGATATGTTTGCTTTTATAGCACGATGCCTAAATCTTGATTGGATTGAATAGGCAAAACGCTTATTACTGTCTCCTTTAGAAAACAAGGGCTTTAACACCATTTAAGACCAACCAGACTACTACTTGATGTGGTACTTACATTTAAGAACTGCAGTTTAATATTTTATTGATCCAACCTGCTATGGAGTTTTGATCCTCTGTGCTTCCCTCTTTTTGGCATTTCTTTGAATTTCTTTTCTACTGCGTTCCAAACGACATTTTGAAAAGCATGTTCAAATGAATAGCTGAGCTACTGTTGGTGCTGTTGTGAACTTTTAGATTCCAAAGTTAGTGCTAGTGGAGCTTATTTCCTGTAAACAATTTTAATGTATTTTGCACCTATAAACATATCCAGAGAATCTGTAATTAAATGTAAGTACTGTCCACATACAAGAACTCTGAGCATACTTTATTTACACAGTAACTTATTTAAGAATGTAAATTGAAGGTGTTCAGTGATAACCATGAAATACCGAAGAGACAGTAATCTGGTACTTAAGTCAAATATTATTAAAAAGCTTATATTACATGCTGTTCATAGGTGTGTTACAGTCTATAATAATGATGCTAAATTGTTCTTTCTTTCCAAAGAGACTTCAAAATGTCACCAGTTTTCTCTTCTGTCATTTGTTTCCACACAGAAGACAAAATTGGAGGCTGGAAAACTTGAAGAATCCTTAGATTCTCACTGTCATCTCAGTCAAGCTATACAGGTGTTCTTCAACAACCTGTCTGCTGTTAGCTATGTAACTATTTCTGAAGAGTAGACCAGACACTGGTTTAAAAAAAAACGCATCCCAAAACCACAGCTTTGTCCAGATTGTTCAAGTTCAGTTTTTCCTGATGCCTTTGACAGAATGTTCTCTAACAACCCAAAATCTGAACAGACATATATGACCGAGTTCTGGCTGCAGAACGACGAGAGCTCGTAGTTGGACTCCCTAATGATTTGTCACAGGCACAGTATTTGAACTGCTGTTTCATACCTTTCCCATCTAGGCTGCAGAGCTATAAAGTAGACGTGAGTATTTGCCTACTAGCTGGCTAAACTCTGATGCACTGCAGCAATCGGGGCTTGATTTTGCAGAGCAAAAAAGTATTCCACCAATTATCATTAGTGTTGTTGCCCCTCCAGAAAACACTGCTGCTTCTCAGTTTTGGATAAACTGATATATTCTTCCAGAATCATGCTCATAATTGTATTCATACTTAGACCCTAAGGCCTGTATTTTAACTCTGGGCTCAGGAGTTTCACCTCTAAGCAAACAGTGTCTCAGCCCAGGAAGAGGAAGGAATGGTGTATAAAAGAAGAGTAGGCTGCTGTAAACAGCAGCAAAATTAAAAATGAATTTGCACCAGATTCACTCTGTGTTTCTCTCATGTTCTGGGCCTTCTGCTGATTCTATCTGCAATCCGGGAAGGATCATCCCTCCCAGGCCCTTATTATGCATAATTTGATTTTAGGAGGAAAAAAAATAATATTTCTGCTTTCCTACGAAATAGCACACCTAAAACCTGTAGTGTGATCTGGGGTTTATTTGTGATCCACGGACATTATAATTTTTACCAGATGCTTTATGGACTGATGCATTCTGATCACAGCATTGAATTAAACAATCAGAATAGGGAGTTGAGGGAGGGTTGATTTCCCCCCCACACCCTCCAGGCTGTGAAAACAGGGTTCAGGTTCAGCACCCCCCTTTTCCCAGAGGTATGTGAACTGCTTTCTGTGATCATCTGGGAATTTTCAACAGCTTCCCTGCATGACAGAAACAAAGGACACAGAGCAATGCCCTCTCCACTTGTAACACCTTGCAGTTGGGGCATCTGGCCTTTTATTGAATGCTACAGTATCATCAAGAGGGCAGAGCTTCATGTGTGAGACGAGAGGTTTGCAGGATAGGGAGTGTGGAAAACATGGTCCTCAAGCATTTGTGAAACAGAGCTGAACTGTGTCGGTGCATTGAATTGCAAAGGCTTGGGCACAGCCACCTCAATCATCTCTTCAGGTCTAAAAATGCTTTTCTTTGTTCTTGAGCTGGTCAAACACAAAACTTCTGGAACAGGATAAAAATCATTAATTTTCCTCCTGAAGCTTTCTGCTGAAGCTGAGTTCCCCAAGTGGCTCAGTACCCGTGCTGTGGGGAGTTTGGAAACAAACTTTTCTCTTTGAGGGGCAGTCGATAGTATTGAAGGTGGAGCTGGCTTGCTGGAGACGCCACTCACAAAGTAAGTGTTTAAGAGTATCCCGTATAGAATGCTGGTGTCTCTATTAGGAAGGCATCGTGTTTCTGTAGTATGGTCTTTTTGTCGACGTTTTAATTGATCCTAATCAGGTATGCCAAGTCCAGGATTCAGGTGCCAAAAATGTGATGTTGCAGAGCTGTCCTGAGTTGCTCCTTTTGGTGCAGAAAGGGCCCTGCTCTAACTGGACTCTGTAATTAACTCTGAGAGTGTAATGCTCTTGTAACATAGTGGGATTTTAACCCTCAGGGTTTGGATTAAATAGACCTGGAGCCAAACCACTCCTGCCGTATAAAACCTAATGAAATCTCTCTTAGTCTGGTTTCAAGGTTAACTTCTTTTCTCTACAGTGGAAATGCTATTTTATGAAGAGGCTCTGTATTTTGTGCCTTTTATTTCCAGTACATGAGGCAAAATTCACTATCTGGGCAAGGTAACCTCCTCACAACTATCTGCTTTTTCAAAAACATGTTTCTTAGAAAAATAGATACCAGTGTTTTGTGCCAAGATCAAAACCAGAAAAATCTTTGAAGTCTGTAAGAGGCTTACGCTACATGAACCAAAATCTGTCTTTAAGTGGAAATAAATGAACTTTTGACATATTGCTCCGTCTGATACTCTTCACAACTAATGTAAAGATACCTTAGTAGTCTTTGCTCCCATGAGAATACATTTGCATCAGAGTTGATTTATGTGAAAAAGGTCAGAAGTATTTTTAAAAGCTGAGAGTCTTCATATTCTTCACAGAAAGATATTTTAATTCCTTTGCATCGGAGTTAATTTACATTTTGATAGCTGCCAAAAAAAAAAAAGATACTGACTTTAGATAGGTGCTGCACCCTCCCCAGCAATATAACCACCAAGATCTAAGGGTGGAAGAAGGGCAGCTGGCCTGTGATATGTAAGAATAAAGGACGCTCAAAACAGAGTTTGGAGACACCTGTTTGTGGCACTTAGGACTTCTCCTGTTTCACCAGAATTTTCTTGACTTGACTCTACTTTGCCATCTGTCTGCAGGAAGGCAGAAACATGAGCAGCAATACTTTTGGATTCACTATGGCAAGCAACAGCTTTCAAACATCTATGGTGTCAGGTCATTTGTTTATTTTTAGCCTGAGGTAGCCCCTCGGGATTGCCGAAGGATCTGCTTATAGACTCTTCTTGACAGCCTCTCCTGTGAAAGGGGTTTTCCAAGCCGAGTAGGATTTAGGGAGGAGGGCTGAGGGAGGGACTTGGAAGCCAAGCTAATAAACAACCACCCAATTTTCTGCCAAGCTCTTCCACTTTGAAAATCTTTAGTAGACAGCTTTTGTGCAGACCTCTCAGGATTTGGATAGTCCGTGCTGTTTGAACAGCCAGGTTTGGCAACTTCGTTCATTTCTCCATATGCTCTTTTAATTACTTCTGTCTTACTATACTGCATGCCAGGAAAAGAAAAAGCATTCCTCTGGCTTTTTTTTCCTTGCCCTTGCAGGAGGGGGAGGTGGGGTAGCCTTCCAGTTCTCGCGTCTCTGAAAATAACCAAGGTGTGTCCTCAAGATAACATTATTCCTGAATAGCCATTTCTGAATAAGCTCATGTCTTCAGTTTATTGACGGCAGACAAATCCCAGTGATGGTGTCTGTCAGTGGAAGCTGGACTAGCTGTGGCATCTGCAGAAACGAACTGAAGTTCTGGACTACGAGGACTGTGATTTGGCCATTTCTCACAATTTTCCATAAGAAGATTAACTGAAAATTCAACATCTAAAACCAAAGCTGAGCAATAACATGTCAGTGAGAATCTCTGTTCTGTAGATGTCCCTCTGCCTTGCTAGCAGGAGTAACAGAGACAAGGAACAAACTTGGTGCCCATGCCCTTACCCATAGCAGGGTGAGTTTAATGCCAAAAGTCTGAATGGCAAGAGCCAGATCATGGTGATTTTCACTAAACGTTTCTACCTTCCGCAGCAGATGCAGGACGAGAGCTGGAGTCAACGGATGGGTGATGTCTCTCCAAATGTGACGTTTCTAGCCTGCTGCGTGCTGCTCGCAAGACTACAGTTTGTGCACGTGCACTACTTTCAATGCCTGTCAGGCCTTCTGTGTGCAAAAAGGAAGGAGAGGTTATTCTTGAACCCCTTAAAGGGGGGGGGCACATGCTATTTAAACTAACATGTGTGTTAGGTAGGTATCCAATAGTGCTAACTGAAGCATTAAATTAGCTATTTGTCTATAGCCTAAACAGGGCAGTATTAGGCCCAAAATATTATCTACAATTTTCATCTTAGCATCACTGTCAGATACTGGGGAAGAAAAAGAAGAAATCAGAAGAAAAGCAATAGAAAGGGCTTGATTTTGTAGTATTCATATTGATTTGACCCTTTCAGTATTTCAGGAAACCGGATGGACATTGACTGTGTGGGTTCCAAAATAAGCATTCCCCAGGACATGGAGGCAGGTGGAATTTTGTGGTTTTAGGAAAGAAGGTTATATTACAAAGGTAAGACATCACACAGTGAAGCTACAGACCAGCTGTAGATTGAGCTGCATGAAACACCTTAATTCAGTAGGGGCACCTGGACTCATGAGTGGCAATTCCATTTCATTCTTAGCACCATCGTTTTCATGCTGCTTTTCTTTCCCTGCGAAGAGCTGTACTTAACCTCTGACATCTCCTCCATAGAAGAACAGATGAACATTAAGGTACATTGTATTTCAGTGATGCCATCAAATATTTTCTCTTCCCTGTGGGACTTTGAAAGTGTCAGAAGACAAGAGCAACAGCGAAAAAATGGTTTGCCTTGCCACTTAGCAGTCATTGAACAACCGTGAGCATACTAACAAATAGTGGAATTTATTCATTAGTTGTACACCAGTTAATGCAATTTTTTAGACGTTTGGATGAGAACACTTAGCTGGTGAAAAACTGCTTTCTATGCTGCTTTATGCTTTTAGGCCATTTCCAGGTGTGCAACAGCAGCATGTCATTTTGACAGCAAATGACAAAGTGCTGTACTGTGGACTGTTGTTTCCTTCCTGGGGAAAATTAATAAAATATTGGGATATTTCAGTATTCCGAATCCTTTCAGCTGTTAAGAGGAGCAAATAAACAGTACTTAGTGATTGTTTCAAATGAAACAGTGTAATTTCTCAACAGAATATGATGTTTTCTGATAATGTTATATTGCAGAGGAAACTCTGCTGTAGTGGAATATTTAGTGTTAATAATTAACGTTCTGCTGCTGAAATTGCTTTTCAGTTTAGTTTGAAGCTTTTCAGTATGAAAAATGTGTTTTCATCATGAATGGTATAAAA